CTTGGGATAACAGTTGAGCATCAACTGTTGTTGGCCATGCAGTTCTGTCTTCCCCATATTTTTGCACAGCCTCTGTAGTTAATCGTTCTTGCAATAAATTATTTAACATACTTAGGGCTTAGCAAATACGACATCAACTTTAAGCCTCATACAACTATAAAGTGCCAAGCTTTGGCAGATTTTCTTGTAAAATGCCAGCCTGCTATTACAAAGGAAACTGCTTCTTTTTACCTACTGTGGGCTTTGTATGTAGATGGAGCCACCAATATTGATGGCTTTATGGCAGGAGCAATGTTGATAAGCCTAGATGGTTTTAGAAGTGAACACACATTAAGGTTCAAATTTCAAGCAACAAACAATGCTACCAAGTATGAAGCTCTCATTTGTGGTCTGAAATTGGCAGTCAAACTCAAGGTACAAAACATACAAGTCTTTAGTGATTCATAGTTCATTGTGAATCAAGTCAATGCTAGTTGTGACATTAGAGATCCTCAGTTTGCTTGTTATTCTTTAGTTGTTACTCGATTGAAAGCCATATTCGCTTTTTTTTCTTTCTTTTTTTTTTTTTTTTTTCAGATTGATAAAATCCCATGAGCAGATAATCAACGAACTAATGAACTATCTAAGCTTGCTTCCTCCCCAGAAATGTCTCCTCAGTGAACAACATATGTAGAAATCTTAGATATGTCGAGTTATGTTGATCTTCCAACCAACTATGTAATATTGAGTACTCATTTGTCAACACTAAACTGGACCATGTCGTTAGTAAATTATCTACAATTTAGTGCATTGCTTGAAGATGAGTTCAAGGCTTTGCTAATTAGGCAAAGAGTAGCTCATTCCACCTTGATTGATGGTTAGTTATACAAATGCGCAGTGTCAATGTCCTTGTTACGGTGTCTTACTTCTTATGAAGTTGAATATTCTATTAGGGAAGTGCACAAAGGAGTTTGTGGCACCTATATAAGTTGAAAAAAATTGGCTCAAAAGCCCCTGAGGCAAGACTAGTACTGGTCATAAGTGGTTGAAGACAACCAAAATTATGTTAAAAAATGCCCGACCTGCCAGTTCAACACCAACGACATCCATATGCTAGGTAAACCAGCTCATTCAAGTTGCAACTCATAAGGCTAAATATACTTCC